AAAGAAAATAGAAGAATACTAGGAGAAAAGACACTTTAAAATGTTCAGTCTTTTGTTCACATTACATCATCTGTCTTGAATAATGGGTCTATCTCTTTCCTGTTACTCTGGCCCTGAAGAAAAGAAATAGCTTTTTAAGGCTGCTTTTGTGATGTGTGCATTTTCTTGTAATCCCCTGTCATTCTGGGATTTAGTCATAACAGTATTAATACCACCTACCATTTGTTGGTTACTTACTGTGTTTTAGGCACTGTGCTAAATGCCTTACACATATTCCTCTCATTAGTAAACATTTCTGAAACTATTCTTATAATTTGTTCTTTAGTTTTTCTTGTTCACGTCCTCTTAAAATCTGAGCTTAGCCATGAGCTCTCAGTGAAGCTGCTTATATCTCTTTAAAAACCCCTTTTGCTTCCTCCAAGTGGAGTGGGTTGTACTTCTGAGGTTGGGACAATCTGGGCACCGGAGGAGTTCAGCCTTCCAAGGCTGCAGGAGGGTGGTTCCCTGAGGTGAGCAAGATGATGCAAGGCCTTGACTCAGGGTAATGGACAGCCACGGACGGGAAGACAGAAGCCAAAATGTGACCACGCAAGGATGCAAAGGGCGAAGGGGGAGAGGTGTGCTGGGCATTGGGTCCTGGGTGTGGGGGGTGGAGTGGGAAAAGGTCTAAAGGTGAAGTCTGGGAAGCCTGGGCAAAGGTCTGGAAGTGGAGAGAAGGGAGCCGTTCTGGGGAGAGCTGTGAGCAATGTGAACCCATCATTTCTGTTTTCACCAGTGAGGGTGAGAATCGAGTCCACAGGAGTGGCTCCCTCCTCTGCTTCCTTGACCTGCAGAGAGCTACATGGGGCAACAAGCAGGGGGAAACTTTACAAGATGCTCTTCTCTTAGTAGAATGAGCTTTTCTGACCATTTCCCAAGAGGCAAATTTCCTCCCTGAATGTTGCCTCTGTTCCGTGATTTGCATTAAAAAAATTGGGTATAGCCTCTCCACTGTGTTCTCACATCTGAGATAAGGGGCTGTGTTTTTGCAAAATTCTCTTCCAGGGCCAAGCACAGGGTGGATGTTCGGCAAATGTTTGGTGAGTTAATGAAGGAAATGAAAGCACTCTCCTTACGCTCCGCAGCTGCGTGATGTAGAGAAGAGTTCCAGAACAATATAATTTATGTTTCTTTTTCCTTCTAACTGACCCTAGAAATTCTCCACAAGGCGTGTGCAGATATCTCACATGTGTGCGTTTACAGGCATGTGTTTTATGTACAAATACTGCTCCATATATATTATTTTATTTTTTGAGACAAGGTCTTATTTTCATTGTCCAGGCTGGAGTGCAGTGGTGCCATCTTGGCTCACTGCAGGTTTGGCTTAACTTTCTGAGCTCAGGTCATCCTCCCACCTCAGCCTCCCAAGTAGCTGGGATGACAGGTGCACGCCACCATGCTCTGCTAATTTTTTGTATTTTTAGTGGAGGTGGGGTTTCACTACGTTGCCCAGGCTGGTCTTGACTTCCTGGGCTCTAGCAATCTGCCCACCTTGGCCTCTTAAAGTGCTGGGATTGCAGGCATGAGCCCCTGCTCCATATATGTTACTTGTTCATCTAACTGCAGACCCCAAAAGAGACCAGCACCCCAAAGAAACATGTATTTCTCTTTGGAACCAGAAGCAAACATCTAGGGATGAGCAGCAGTAGGTGTTTAATAAATACGTGTTGACTAATTAGGGAGCACAAATATATAAAAGTGGTAAATTAGCAAGAAAGAGCAGCAGTGTAGATAAATAACACAGTTATCTTGAACAAGAGAATCTATCTCTGAGGGCTCTGTGTAGGAGGAGAGGCAGTGTTGGCTAGCGAGGCAGATCTCTCTCTAATTAGGCTCCAATCAGGATAATATTGCAATTAGCTCGGGATGTTATAGCAGTTAGCTTCTATTCTTGGAACAAATTCCTGGGAGATTTAAGTTGGGTGGTAAAAGAAGGTTGTCCCAGGAATAAATTTGCTGTGAGCCACTTCTGAGCAACTACCTCATATGTGTGTAATTGAACCACCAATGTAAACCTGATTGGATGGCTTCCTTCTTTATCGGCAACTCTTAAACATGAGCTCAGAAATCTGGACAGCCACTTAACAGCAGAACACGGATCGGGAAATTGCAGATTTCAAATTTCAGAAAAATTGGTGAATTTACACAATTTGAGTGTCTCCTTTTTGTCAGGGTAGACAGCCTTGGGCCTCCAGGATCTGGCCAACAAGTGCTTGCTGCTGAGACAGGCACGGAAAAGAATGAAAAATATGTCCTCAATTATCTTCCTGGTTATTGAGACATTTAAAAACTCTGCCCCAGCCCACCTTGACAGTCTCCTGTAAGCAGCTCAATTTTCTGTCTGTCAGACCGGTGACAGACCCAGGAGGATGTTGTGTCTGGGAATGTTTGCTCTTCCTGGCTGGGGTTATTCGGGCTTGGCAGTGGAGACAGCGCGACAGAACCAAACCAGGAATCCTGGCTCTCCATCCGTCCAACCAGCGGCTTTTCGCCTCATCCTTCACACTCCACGCTTCTTCTCTTTCTTCTGCATCAGGAGAGGCAGATGTAGAGCCCAGAGTTTTTTGTCAAAGAGCCTGAGCTGTGATCCTGCCTGGCTCCACCGCTGGGAGGTGACTGTCTTTCTGAGTTCCAATTTCTTCGTCTATAAAATGAACATTGATATTATCTGCCCAAATCACTTCAGGAGACTGGTTGTTGAAAGGCGTGGTGACCGTACGCCTGCCCTAAGCTTGAAAGGACTGCATTCGGTGCTGGCTTTGTTGCCCACAACATTTACCTTAATGCTGACGACAATCACAGGCTCTTGAAACTGGCTCAAGGACCCACCCCTGCCCACCCCGCCCCCCCCCCCCAGCTGCCCCCCACTGCCCCCTGCTGCCCCGCTCATGCGGGGCTGCCCTGCAGATGGCGCTGCAGCTCAGAGAGTGCAGCCAGCAATAAATCAGGGCAGCTGGATTGAACGTGTCCTAGTCTAGTCAAGCCAGATTAGACGTGGGCGTGTTTGGCACTTTAGGTGGGTCCAGTCTGGATTTCCCTTAACTGTACATCCTAGATGTGTATCCCTCACAAAAGGTCCCCACCTTCACATTTGTACCTCCTCAAATTAAGCCACCTGGTCCCCGCTGGGCCCCCTGGGAACCACTGCAGCAGGCAGTGTGTTTAATCCCTGTGGAGCATTTTAGCATTAGATGCGGATGACGACTTTGCGCTCCCATCCGCCTGTGACAGAGGCTGCCAGCTCCACTCTTGGAAACACCCTCGTTCTGACTTAGTTTCCCATCCAAGATAAAGGTAGGTAGGCTCAAAAAGGATCTAAGCCAATGCTGAAAGAAAGAAGACCCTAAAACCCCTATGTGGCGCTCAGAAGGCAAAGGCCTGCCTTCACAGACCAGGCTAAAGAGCTGGGCTTTGGCCCAACACATCCTGTTTGGAATCCAAGCTCCACCATTTAGCATGTGTGTGACCAGGGGCTTGTTAAGCAATGCCCTAATCCTCCCTTCCCTGCCTATAAAAATAAGAGATGATGCCTGCTTTATAGGATGCAGTGGTGAGGATGCAATGAGTTGAGTCATGCAATAGGCTTGATATAGTGCCTGGCACACAGGGATATCGAATAGTGATGACTATTAGATCAGGAGCAGACATTGGGGGAGGAGGTAGCAGCCCAAGGAGGAGAAAACAAGGAGATCTAGGGAGGGAGAGACGTGTCAGAGAAGAGATGGTGGGTTCTGCAGAGGAAGGCTTCTTGGCATCCCTTGAAAGCTGCTTTGGAAACCCATCTTTATTCTGCTGACCTTTTCAGGCAGCCATGCTGGTAGGGATCTGGGCACCAGGCAAAGCAAGCTGACCATCTGGCCAGCTGTTTCTGCAACAAAAAGAGATACTGTAAAAGGCTTTAGGAACTGGGCTCCTTTACCCACAGTTGGCACTGTAGGTCGAAGAAGTCCTCCTCGAGACCATCATCTTCTCATCAGCAATCTTCCAGCCAGCACACTGCAGTGGCCAGTGAGTGAATGCAGGATTGTCTCCAGGAAGCCAGTACTAAGACCAGGGCTCAGAGCCTGCACTGAGCAAATCATCAGGGAGCAGGGACCGCCCTTCCCTCCCGGTCAGTGATCTTGTACCCTGAGGGTACTGTCTCCTCTGGATCCCATGAAGACTGCTCTCTGCCATGGCCATGATAATCTGTAACACTGAGTGGCCTGGCCAACATGGTGAAACCCCGTCTCTACTAAAAAATTAGCTGGGTACAGTGGTACACACCTGTAATCCCTGCTACTCAGGAGGCTGAGGCAGGAGAATTGCTTGAACCCAGGAAGCGGAGGTTGCAGTGAGCCGAGATCATGGCACTGTACTCCTGCACTCCAGTCTGAGTGACAGAGTGAGACTCTGTTTCAGAAAAAGAAAAAAAAAAGTGCAGGTTCTGAGGCCAGGCTGCCTGGGTCCATGCATTAGCTCTGTGGCTTTGGGCAAGTGACTTAGCCACACTTTGCCTCGGTTTTCTGGACTGCAAAATGGAGCTGTGAGAGTTCACCAAGTTCATGCTTATAAGGAGATGGTAACAGTGCCCAGAGTTTAACATGTGCCCCACAGGTGTTACCTGGGGCTGTTGACATCTCTGTGGCCAACTGTGTATTGGTTCCAGGTCTTGGGGTCACATCTGTGTGCCTGCTGCCCTAGGTGTCCCAATACCTGGTCTCTTTTTCTCCCATTAAAAAATCATCTCGCTTCTCTGTCTCCCTGTCTCTCTCGCCTTCCTCTTCCCTTTCTTAGCACACTATTTAACAAACATGGATGAAGTGCCTGCCCTGTGCCAGGTGCTGGGAGGGGGATGGTGCGGGGAGAGATGCATACAGAGATGGAATAAACAGTAAGCCTTGCACAGGACTCTCTGAGTGCCCACAGCTAGGAAGAACAGCAGTTAGTCCATGATCCTGGGGGCTTCACCATCGTCACAGGGGAGCCAGAATCTGGAGACACCCAGGTCCTGAAGATGGATCCTGCCCAGCCCCCACAGAAGACTGCCATTGCCCTCAGCCGGCAGGAAGAGCCGTGTGATTCAGCAGGAGGGAGATCATCCTTCCCGAGACAAGACGGGGGCAGCAGAGGTGAGAGTCTGGCTGGGAGGGAATGGGGCTGCTGGCTGACAGCTTGGTTGTCACATCCAAAACCTCATCCATGGACAGTGCCCCTCTGCCCTGCCAATGACAGGGCCATCACTCACAGGTCTCCACTGGATTGTGCTGAACCAGGCACTGCTGCTTTTGCCCAGGCAGGGTGATAGATGTTGTGAGGGCTTGGGAAGCTTTGGGGGGAAACTTAGGCTATCTGCCCACTCCTCAATCATGCCACACATCCCCAGAGTCACACGGAAATGTTCTTACACACCTCTGTGCCTTGGTGCAGTTTCTCCCTCTGCCTAGCCTGCCCTCCCCTGGATCAGGCCTTCTCCATCTGAGTGTCCCACATGTCCCCAAGTCTCAGTCCCCAAGAAGCTCTGGGAGCCTGCAGTGCTCCGGAATTCTGGGTGTCTCTATCTCCCTGAGTGGCCCTGATGTCCTGGACATGTTTTACTGTCACACTGGCTGGTCATTCTTTGTTTAGGTGTCTTTTCTCCTTACCCCAGACCTTGAGATCTTGAGGCCAAGAACAGCCAAGTCTCAACTTTCTTTGCAGGGCTGAGCAGAGAGTTGGCACTCTGCAAACACGTGCTGAGGAATGGATTGTCATTACTGACATCACCATTCACCTCTGCACAAGTTGTGACATGGAACAGCCTCCCACCCCTGCTGGAAGCCTGGCCTAGAGTGACCGACCTGCTTTAGTGAGGGGTTGGGGTTTGGAAGGCCCACTGGATAGAAGGATCTAGAATGAGGAGGTCTTTTCCTGTTGAGGACCAAAGATCTCAACTCTTTTTTCCTAATAAAGTAGGAGAGACAAGTTTGGAATTGTCTCTAAATATACAGGATGGGTTTGAGCTTAGAGGTAGCAGAGCCTCTTATTCCCAACTGAAGACAGTCAAAAAACCTGAACTGCCCTGGCAGAGACAGGGCTTCCCAGGCAGAAAGCAGCAAGATGCCTCAAAGGCCACAGAGTGGGAGGGCGGGGGGAATAAGCAATTTAATTTCGATTTTTTAATGCAGAAATGAAGTATTCCGCTTGTTTGCTTTTAAAATGGAGAACAGAGAACATGAAATGATTTTTAAAATGAAGGAGGTAATTAGAAAGAATTCCTTAAGTTCTATGTGATGGCCGGTAAAGGAAGAGAGAGCGCAGAAACGGTAGAACAGGAAGGAAGGAGAGTAGGACACAGAGGTGATGATGCAAAAAGAGAGAGAAAGAGAGAGGAGGAGAGATGAGCATAGAACCCCCATCCCTAGGCACACAAACATTTTGATCTTAAGAAAAACTTGCTTTGTAAAATTAATGTTTGTCTTTTGTTGCTTTTACATTGTAAGAGAGCAATTTTGAATATATTTCTCTATTGTTTTCTGACTTTTAGAATAAGAAGTTGCTAATGAGAAGTCAATGCCATTCTTGGTCTTGATCTTTTTTTTAGAATCTTTTCCCTCTCTGGATAATTTTAAGTTTTGTTTTGTTTTGTTTTGTTTTGTTTTAGATGGAGTCTTACTCTGTCACCCAGACTGGAGTCCAGTGGTGTGATCTCAGCTCACTGCAACTTCTGCCTCTCAGGTTCAAGCAATTTGTGTGCCTCAGCCTCCTGAGTAGCTGGGATTATAGGCACATGCCACCACACCCAGCTAATTTTTGTATTTTTAGCAGAGACGAGGTTTCACCATGTTAGACAGGCTGGTCTTGAACTCCTGATCTCAAGTGATCTGCCTGCATTGGCATCCCAAACCGCTGGGATTACAGGCATGAGCCGCCAAGCCTAGTTTAAATTTTAAGAGTTTATCTTCCTATACATAATTATGAAATTACCATGGGCCTTTTTTTCCTTCATTGTGAATGGGTGTACAATGGGCTTGTAAACTCTGCAGACGCAGGTCATTCAGTCCTGGGAAATAATTTTGTATTATTTCTTTGGTAATGGACTCGCCCCCGTTTCCTCTTCTCCTTATTTCTTTTGCTGGACCTCCTAGGTAGATCTTCTGCTTTGCTATTTTCTCTCTGTTTTTCCATACCTTTATTTTTTTTCCCACTGCTAGAAAGATTTCCTTGACCTTATCTTCCAAATCCTCTGTTGACTATTTTTATTTATGTGATCAATTTTCAGTAGTTTGCACTATTTTTCTGATTATTCTGTTTTTTTTTTTTTTTAGAAAAGAGTTTTATTGGAGATACAGTTTATATACTCAAATTCACTCATTTTAAGTGTCCAATTGGTTTTTAGTAAATCAGTAAATTTAATTGATTTTTATTAAATTTTAACTAAATTATTTTTAGTAAATTTACAGAGGTCTGTAACTATCACCACAATCCAGTTTGGATTGTTTCTTTGTGTTTAGTTTTTTGTTCTGATATCATGGGTGAAATGTCTCCTCTGCTCTTGTTTTGCATGTGTGCATGTGTGAAACAGAATCTTGCTCTGTTGCCCAGCCTGGAGTGCAGTGGTGCAGTCTTGGCTCACTGTAACCTCTGCCTCCTGGGTTCAAATGATTCTCCTGCCTCAGTCTCCCAAGTAGTGAGATTACAGGCATCCACCACCATGCCTGGCTAATTTTTGTATTTTTAGTAGAGATAGGGTTTCACATGTTGGCTATGCTGGTCTTGAACTCCTGACCCAAGTGATCTGCCCTCCTCAGCCTCCCAAAGTGTGGAGATTACAGGCATTAGCCACTTTGATGAGTCTCCTATTATCTTTTTAAAAATATGAATTCGGCCAGGCGTGGCAGCTTACACCTGTAATCTTAGCATTTTGGGAGGCCAAGGCAGGTGGATCACTGGAGGTCAGGAGTTAGAGACCAGCCTGGTCAACATGAAAGACCTTGTCTCTACTAAAAATAGAAAAATTGGCCAGGTGTGGTGGCGTGCTCCTGTAATTCCAGCTACTTGGGAGGCTGAGGCATGAGAATCACTTGAACCTGAGAGGCAGAGGTTATAGTGAGCCGAGATCACGCCACTGCGCTCCAGCCTGGGCAATAGAGTGAGACTCTGTCTCAAAAACAAAACAAAAGTAAAATAAAATAAAATAAAAATATGAATGACTTTCTTTAACATTTTTTTTCCTCCGGGTTCCTCTCTTTCTTGGTCCACTGGTTTTAGTTCTGGTCTCTCACACTGGAGACTTTCCTCAAGTTCTTCATTGTTCTTTGCAGTTCATTGATACATAAGTGTGAAGTGTTACAAAGCCAGCTGGACACTCTGTGTGCATGGGTGTTACTTGCCAACTGACGAGCTTCATTAGAGAAGTCATACATCCTGGTCATTATGGGGATCCCGAAATGTCAGTGGTAGTGAGTTTCTGCTCGGGGCCAGTCACCTTCTACAGAGAAGGATCCACCAACCTCTTCCTCCTATCTGGATGATGGTGGGTGAGTTGGTGGGTGGGATAGGGTCATGCAGCTCTGTTTGCCAATATCCCTGGAGATGTGCAGCGGCAGGGGTTGGGAGTACAGCCATTCAGTAGATAGACTGTATTTAATATTCTTCTTTTCACTATAGCACCTCTCCTTTCACTGTACCTGCTAATGTAGGCTTAGACCCTCAATTTCTTTACTGAAAAAATGCTCCTGAAGGGTACCACTACCCTGTCACCTGGCTGTATTGAATGGGGGTGAGAACTTGGAATGACCAACTGCCTCTTATATGGAGATATATATTGATATGGAGTCTTGCTCTGTCACCCAGACTGGAGTGCATTGGTGCAATCTTGGCTCACTGTAACCCCCGCCTCCAGAGTTCAAGTGATTCTCCTGCCTCAGCCTTCCCAGTGGCTAGGATTATACATGTGTTCCACCAAGCCCGGCTAATTTTTGTATTTTTAGTAGAGACGGGTTTTGCCATGTTGGCCAGGCTGATCTTGAACTCCTGACCTCAAGTGATCTGCCCGCCTTGGCCTCCCAAAGAACTGGGATTATAGTCATGAGCCGCCATGCCCAGCCTCTTATATAGATCTTGAACCAATTGTTCAGTTTCACATTCTACATCTCATCCTGATCCCTTGAAGTACCTGGTGCCTGCCGTTCCCAGGCCTTGCCAAGATGCTGCAGCTTGAGTTGGCTCCACTCTCACCAGCATCTGCCCATGTAGGCACAAGGTCTTCAGATTCCTCAGTGCTTTGGATTTACCAACCTGCTTCCCAGTTTCTGAAAACTTATTGGCATCTTTTGCCTTCTGCTGTTTTTTTCCATTATTCTTTTTGTTCTTGTGGGCTTATATCTTTTAAAATTCCTTAACTCTCATTTTAGGTGGGGTTTCAGAAACAAGCCACAATAAATCCATGTGCTCAAGCAGCCGAGTTTGAGATGTGGAATTACAGACTTTTTTATTTTTTTTTTAGACAGAGTTTCACTCTTGTTGCCGAGGCTGAAGTGCAATGGAGCGATCTGAGCTCACTACAACCTTTGCCTCCTGGGTTCAAGTGATTCTCCTGCCTCAGACTCCCGGGTACCTGAGATTACAGGCATGCGCTACCACACCTGACTAATTTTGTTGTTGTTTTTTGAGATGGTGTCTCACCCTGTTGCCAGGCTGGAGTGCAGTGGCATGATCTCGGCTCACTGCAACCTCTGCCTTCGGGTTCAAATGATTCTCTTGCTTCAGCCTCCTGAGTATCTAGGACTACAGACACGCACCACCACGCCCAGCTAACTTTTGTATTTTTACAAGAGATGAGGTTTCACCATGTTGGCCAGGATGGTCTCAAAATCTTGACCTCATGATCTGCCCACCTCAGCTTCCCAAATTGCTGCAATTACAGGTGTGTAAAATTACGCCACAGCACCTGTTATAATTTTGTGTTTTTAGTAGAGACGGAGTTTCTCCATGTTGGTCATGCTGGTCTCAAACTCCTGACCTCAGGTGATCCACCTACCTCGGCCTCCCAAAGTGCTGGGATTATAGGCATAAGCCACCACACCTGGCCAGAATTATAGACTTTTAAAGCTCTATGGTGTTTTTGCAACTATAGCCATAAGGGGACAAAAGAGGGGGCCTACCTATATGCCATACTAGATATATTGGGATTTTGTCATTGTTGATCTTTCTAATCAGAGTCACTGACTCTTTAAAAAGATGTGGGAAACTGAAGGAAATTCCAAGCACAGAGATTGAGGTGATCAAAAGGATGAACCCTTGATCCAGGGGAAACACCGAAGGTGTTGGTGCTATTTAACTAGGAGAAGAGGAAGCCAGGGATGGCTTAGTTACCCACTTAAATTCAGATTCATTAAAGTGATTTCTGTCCTGGTACAACCTCCATCATCCTATTTTGTTTTAGTGTGAACTTCTAAGCTCCCTTAGAAGAGTGATCCTAAGCTTGAGGGTGAGGTGGAAGGGGTTGGGGAAAGACTAAGGCTGTACATCAGGATAGGTTAGGCTATGCTGCAGTAACAACTAAACACGGAAATCTTGGTGGTTTAACACAAGAGAGATTTATTCCTCCCTAATTTTATCTTATTACTACTTGGTAGCTCCCTCCAAGTGGTGACCCAGGGACCCCAGCTCTATCTGTCTTAGGGCTGTAACTATACTGTCTGGAACATATGACTATCCAAGGTTCTGCAGCAAAGGAGAGAAAACTGGGAGGTCATACAAGATGCTTTTAAGGGCTAAGACTGGAAGAGGTTGGTATCAGTTCTGCCAACTTCTCATTGGCTAGAACTCTGTCAGGTGGTCCCAAGGCATCTGCAAAAAAGGATGGGAAATGTGGTTTCTCATGTGCTCTGGAAGAGGGTACAGTGTGATAAATAAACATTGTCTCTGCTCTCTGTCTGCCAGGTTTTCTGAGGGACATGCCAGCATTCTTAGGGGAAGGGGAGATACGGTCGCTTTGTCCGCAAAGCCTGAACAAGAGGAAATAATGTTCAAGTAAAGTAGGGGAGACACAGGCTGGGTGTGGTGGCTATAATCCCAGCACTTTGGGAGGCTGAGGCAAGTGGATCACTTGAGGTCAGGAGTTTGATACCAGCCTGACCAACATGGTGAAACCCCATCTCTACTAAAAATACAAAAATTAGCCAGGCATAGTGGTGCATGCCTATAGTCCCAGCTACTGGGAAGGCTGATGCAGGAGAATCACTTGAACCTGGGAGGCAGAGGTGGCAGTGAGCCTAGATTATGCCACTGCTCTCCGGCCTGGGAGACAGACTGAGATTCCGTCTCAAAGAAAAATAGGAGAGACAGCAGACTGACTTAAGGAGAAATTTATCGACATTAAGGGACTTAAATATTACAATGAGCAATTGATGAGAGATATGCTATGGTTTGAATGTGTCCCCCATAGTTTGTGTGTCAGAAACGTAATCCGCAGGGCAACAGTATTGAGAAGAGGGACCTTTTAAGAGGTGATGAGGTCATAAGGGCAGAGTCCTAGGAATGAATGAATGAATGAATGTTGTGATTGTCGGAGTGGGTTTGTTGCAAAGTGAGTTTGGCCCCCTCTAGCATGCTCTCTCATGCCCTCTACCTATTATTTATTTACTTCTGTATTTATTTTTGAGATGGAATCTCACTCTGTGCCCCAGGCTGGAGTGCAGTGGTGTGATCTTGGCTCACTGCAACCTCTGCCTCCCAGGTCAAGCAATTCTCCTGGCTTAGCCTCCTGAGTAGCTGGAATTACAGGTGCCCATCAACACACCTGGCTAATTTTTATATTTTTAATAGAGACGGGGTTTCACCATATTGGCCAGGCTGGCCTCGAACTCCTGACCTCCAGTGATCTGCCTACCTCAGCCTCCCAGTAAAGTGCTGGGATTACAGGCGTGAGCCACCGCACCTGGCCATACTCTACCTGTTATAATGCAGCAAAAAGGCCCTCACTTTTTTTTTTTTTTTTTTTTTTGAGACGGAGTTTCGCTCTTGTTACCCAGGCTGGAGTGCAATGGCGCGATCTCGGCTCACCGCAACCTCCGCCTCCTGGGTTCAGGCAATTCTCCTGCCTCAGCCTCCTGAGTAGCTGGGATTACAGGCACGTGCCACCGTGCCCAGCTAACTTTTTGTATTTTTAGTAGAGATGGGGTTTCATCATGTTGACCAGGATGGTCTCGATCTCTTGACCTCGTGATCCACCCGCCTCGGCCTCCCAAAATGCTGGGATTACAGGCGTGAGCCACCGCACCTGGCCCAAGGCCCTCACTTAATGCAGTTCCCCAATCTCAGACTTCTCCAGAACTGTGAACCAAATAAACTTCTATTGTTTATAAATTATCCAACACCTGGCATTCTGTTGTAACAGCAAAAAATGGACTAAGACAAGGTGATGTTTATCCTTACAGATCTCAAAAAAAGAAGTTCCTGGGAGTTGATGGATCGATAGTAACTGCTTGAGGGATGGACAAGATACTCTTCTGAGATCCCATCTAATTCCGGGATTCTACCCTTAAGTGGGTTGAGGGGCTCAGAGTTTGCAAAGCTAAAGAGTGTCAGGACCAGGGACAGATCTAGGTTTTGTGAAACCTGAAGCTTATACGATTTTGGTGCTTTGTATAAGAAAAAGATTACAAAATTATGGATGCCAAATTAGATACGGGGCCTAGGAAGGGGACATTGTGAGTAGTGGGCCTTAAGTCTAAGCTCATTAGCTTCCCAATAAGGCCTCCTCTGTCTAGGACGGAACCACATTCCTTTGGAGCCAGTAGATTTCAATGCATCTTCCCCTAACAGACTTGCTCTTCCAGATTCTACATCTTGCTCATGATTTTCCCCCTAAATCTCTAACTCAGCAAAAATGTATTTAAAGCCCACCATGTGCAAGGCATTAGGAGGCAGCATGTCTGACTCAAGGAGCCCCTGAGTCTATGCAGGTACTGTCAAGGCAGAGGAAGAGTAGGATGGGCACAGAAAACCAGATGGGAAGCAGGGCCACATCTGATCGGAGGACACAGGTGGTCTTCTGTGGATGACAGGCCTGTGTGCTCAGAGGAGAAATCCATGCTGCTCTCTGTCTCACTTCTAAAAGGAATTGTTCCCACAGAAACTGCCCAGAGACCTTGGAAGCCTGTGTTGGAGTGGAGGGCTCAGCTGTTTCCTGCCAC